TAAAATAGAACCGCTCTTGGATGTTCACTGAAATCGGTTGACATCCTGCATTGGTCAATGATCAGGTTTCAAACCTGAGACCTTTGCTAGGGTCATGGACCTTTATATCTGATAAAGGTCACCCTTATTAGTATTCTTTATATAAAGAATACTAATAAGGAGTGTTTTATCAGATATAAAGGTCCATGCATGTGACCAAATAGGCTCATTCTATTGGCCTAATAACTCATTAATTATGTATGAGTTTTTGAACTATACGTAAAAACCCGCATACAAGAACACCTATTTTGGCGGTTCAGGCTGATTTGGTGCTTATATTTAACACTTATTTACTGGAACCGAGGGAAACAGTATGTTTTGTGGTCCCGAGACCGCTGATGTTTCCCGAAGCGAAGCTGAGGGAAACATCAGCGGTCGAGGGACCGCAAAACATACTGTTTCCCCGAGGTTTCCAGTAAATAAGTGCTTTATTATCATATCAAGTGTCAAAGAGAGCAACAAACGTAAATAAATGAAGTGTTTTTATTAAAGATTTTGATAAAATGACTGAAAAATGGCAATACAAATAGTCAAATGTCACTAAAATCAATCAATGTAATAACACAATGAATACAATAACTATTTGTAGACGAAATTAAATGTTTCAAAACAATTTTGGAATTCACCGTCCGTAAATGTGGCATTTTCACGACACTGAAGAGTGTTTTTCTGCGATTTTGTACTTATTGACGGTCCACAACATATTATTGACCGCTGGTGGACAGTTGCCGGGAAACAGTAAAATTTYGTGACTTTCACGTGGTACACTCTCGACCAATAAGATACTAGGAAAAGTGAACTTTGACACTTGATATATAATAAAAAGGGTTATAATCTGCAAAGTCAGCCTGTAAGTGTTCTTAAAACAAGTTTTCTGAAATAAGGAACATACTAAGGCTACCAGTAGATGAAATCAAGATATATGCACACAATTTTAATTAATTTATACAATGATGTAACAATTTTAATTTAAAAAAATGATAAATCAAGTCAATACTGAACAGTACATATTTTTGTTTTGTTTAATATTTTGTTTCATATAATTAGGGTGGAACTATTATGTGTGCAATGTAAAGTAATTTTTGGATCTTTGATATTTTTCCATATAAGAACAACTTTCATTTTTCAAGCTAAATGTGTTCTTATATATATGGTACTTTATTTCCTAAAATCAGGCTTGGGTGTTCTTATACGCGGGTTTTTACTGTAGTCAATGTTATGGCAATGTGCATGTATTTATCTAGATTTTCACCTTTAGGCTAATGACACACAGTTTAGAGCTGAGTTGTCCTGGTTATTTTTTTATGCATATTGAGTTGTCCTGGTTATTTTTTTTTATGCAATGTAAATACATAGCCAAGACCAT